CCAGCTCCCCGCCTGTGAGGCGATCTGTGAACCTCGAAGGTCAAACTCAAGGGGCCAGGCAGCTGTGGGCAGAGCACTGGCACAGGTGCCTCAGTCTACCCAGGGTCCCAAGGACCACCTTCTCCCACCAGGCCACCATGCGTGTCTGACCCATGCTAAGGCAGCAGGACCCAGAGAGGGTAGGGAACTCCCCAAGGCCCCTCAGCAGCCCCACTGCAGTGGGTCTTGGGGTGGGCGAGGGGCCAGAGGCCAGGCTGGAACAGGCCCGAGTTCTGCGTGAGGGTGGACTTTGAAGAACAGAGGGGTGCACCGGAGTCAGCGTGAGCAGCCTCACACTAGCAGGGCTGCTGGGCTCAGACTCTGTTTTCCACAAACACAGATGGGCTGGGAAGGGTCAGAGGGAGGCCTGGGTGGAATGTGGGTCAGCGCTGGGCGCCAGGTTCTGAGGACTCGCACTGGGCTGCACGGGCGGGGCCTCCAGGAAGCCCGAGCGCCCGCAGATCCCCAGGCTAGGCAGCCTCCAGGCTGACCTCTGTTGCTGGGGAAGGGGAGCTCAGTGGTCCCAGATGGGGTGCCAGGTGTGAAGATGGGGCTTTGGCTCAGCCCCCAGAGTCTGTGATCTTGGCCCAGAGTCAGCCCTGGGTCTGGACAAACAGGGCATCTAGGGGTGAGGGGAGTGGGGGACACGCTGGCAGGCTGGCTCTGGGTCTGATGGACCTTGACGTAGTTATAGCTCACAGGTGCCCCAAGAGCCCTTTTTGTGTCCTGCCTTGGACAGTGGGGCTGTGAGGCCCTTTGGCTTGGCCCCAGGCCCGGCTTCCAGGGGCAGCTGCAGGGGTCTGTAGGTCAGGCACAGAGTCCCCTATAGCAGCAGATGGGCAGGAAGTGGGAGGCTCTGAGTGGGCTGGGCCCCCAAGAGTGGGGAGTGAACTGAGGACACCGAGGGAGGTGGGAGGACCAGCAGGGCACCCGGCGCCAGCGCAGCGTGACTGGGCCACACAGGGACGATGCAGGCCACCTCCAGCAGGCTCCACTTTCGAAGGAATCTGCCGCGCTGTTCCTGTGGCCAGGCCAGAAACAATAGTGGGAGGGGTGGGGTGGACACCACAGCCCAGCTCACGTCTGCTGTTCCCAGACCCCTGTCCCCCGCCCACTGCAAACATTCCTCCCGGAGCTGACCTCCTCCGCTCAGCATCAGCCGGAGGGTGAACACGGGAAGGAACTGACTCTGGCCCAGCTGGACCTCACGTGAAGCCACCTGTACCCCAGGGTTGCCCCTGTTTCATGACGACAAGCCCTCAGCCTTCTGGCTTAAATGGCCAGGTGGCTCTACGCAGAGTGAGGGATGCCAGTGACAGGGACACACAACCCCTCTACCTCTATCTCGCCTCTGTGTCCCCCGGGGCCCTGAGGAACAGAGGTTCCCAGCTGGGCACAGACCGCCTGGGACCCTAGTGTATGCTCAGCCATAACATGGGGGTCAGATGGAGTCGACCCTGAAGTTTCCTCTCTGGGGATTCCCTAAAATTTCTGTTTCTAGGGGGAACGAGATGGGGGGCTCATCACATTCTGACTAGAGACATTCTCAAAATACTGGGGACCCTACCTTTTATCTAGCTGCTGCTTCAGCATCTGGGAAGCCTGGGTCACTGAAAATCTGGCTGGGGCTGACCTGGGATGGGGATTGCACCCAAGAATCCTCAGACAGCTCCTTTCCTCCCTACATCTCACATTTCCCAGACTCCAGGGCAGAATGTCCTGCCAGAAGGGTCAGCAGGCCACAGGCTAGACGCGCAGGCCCACAGCACCCCAAAAGCGGGGCTTTGGTGCCCTCTACTGGCCATTCCTTGAATGGCCCCTCCTGACCACATGGTCCAGTCAGCATTGTTGGGCGGCCCCAGCAAGTCAGCAGGCAGCTCCCAGGGGATTTCCTTTCTCTCACAGCTTGACTGAAGACCCTGCCTGAGTGCTGCGTGGGGCCACCTTGTCTGGGGTGCAGGCATAAGGGCCACTCAGTCTTGGGCTGGCTCCCCTTCTCTAGGGTAAATCCCCACCTGGCACCAGGCCCTCCAGGGCAGGGGTCGACCCTGGCATCCCTGTGTCCACTCTCGTGGCCCTCAGGGTCTGCTCAGGCCTGGAGAGCAGTGAGGACAGCAAATATTTACTGCTGACAGGAGAAGACAAATACTGCCCTGGGCCAGGCCGAGGTACCAGTGTGTCCGTGCCAGGAGCGGACGCAATCTAGGGAGTCATTGGGAGGCAGCTGCCCTGGTAGAATGTCCTAGGTGGTCTGGGGTGTGTTCCATGCCACCTGTGGGACCCTTGTGTAGCATTGGTATGAGAGTTCTGCCACGTGAGTGAAGTGGGCCACCGGGTCAGACCAGGCAGTGACACCCTGGCCCTCCATACATGTGGAAGAGGTTCTGAGGGGGCCAGGGGCACCAGGGGTAGGGTGGAGCTTGAGGGGCAGCTTCTTACCTACCCCACTGCCCCAGCTGGGGAGCGCTCAGATGGACCCTCATCCCCCAAAGCCAGAGTGCTAGGCATACTTGGACACAGCTGACTGCTACCACTGGTTCCCCGGGCAAGTGGAACCCAAGTTCCAAGGGCAGGTTGGGTCGCAGGCCATGGGGGGCTGTCCAGGTTCCCAGAAGGGGCAGAGCAGGGGCGAGGCTTGCAAGGATTGCAGGGCCAGTTCTGTGGGCCAGGCCTCTGTAGAGTGACCTGGATGCTCCAGGAAGCGTCCATACTCCTCAGCCAGACACCTGGGGGTCAGCACCCAGGGCAGTACAGTTGGAAGAGCGGGCCTGATGGCGGCTCTGCAACTGGAGCCCTAGCCACTTTGTGGGCAGCCACTTCGCGCCCAAGGTGGGCATCCTGCCCACTCACAGGTCTCTTGCCTTCTGCCCCAACCTTTTCAAGAACACAGTGGTGGGGGCTGGGGGGGCTCCTTTGTCTTGGGGGTGAGGTAGGTTTCTAGAAGGGAGAAGGTGGCTGCATATCACAACAGAGTCACTTTGGGTTGAGTAGCCTTCCCTTTCCTGGAGGCCTCAGATCAGAGGTTCCCCTCGGAAAAGTTACAGAAAATTTGTCCCCCAGAAAGGTGTTCCTGAGTTCCCCAGAACCATGCAGAACAGGCTGCAAAACGCACATCCACAAACCTGAGCTGACCCCAAGACTTGTGGACCCCAAAGGACTCCAGGTCCCTCTACCTGCCACTCATACCCTAAAAGGCATTTATGGGCACCTTGGGGGACAAATCCGCCCATCGCCCCCCAGGGGAGAGGCAGTTCTGGCCAATGGCTTCCTGGGGGGCATGTGGACCCCACCACCCACTGCTTGGTCACAGCTCTGGCTGCCCTCCCGGCGGTAAGCTCACATACCTCTACTCCAGCAGGACGCCCCTGCTCTAGCAGTTCGAAAAGGCCAGCGGGGTGTTCCCATGGACCGATCCCAGCCTCCTCCTCCCCCTCCTCTTCCGGGTCCACGGTCCGGCTGTCCACCCGCCTGCCCAGTCCTGGCCCCCTCTCTGGGGGTGTGGCTTGCTGGGGGCCTGCCACACGTCTAGGTGGGGGTGCTGATGGGGTATACAGAGAAAGAGACCTGGGAGGGGACCTCAGGGGTACAGTAGGGAAGCTGCCCAGGTGGCCAAACCCCCAGCAGGAAGTCTTGTCCAGCTCCAGGCCTGAATGCTCTCCAGTCCCTGGGCTTAGGCACCAGTCCCAGATCTAGCCACCCTAGATCCAGCCAGGTGGAGCTCTCATAGGAGGGGCAGAATGGTTTGGCCTGGGTGGCAGGCAGGCTGGCCAGACCTCAGAGTAGCCGGGGTCACTTAGTGAGCTTCCAGGCCAAGGCCAGCCCTTGGAGCCCCTGGGCTCTTATCTGCCCAGCAGGTGGCACCCAGGCTGGGCCTCCAGAGAAAATTTTCTGGGCTCAGTGGGTGCAGGAGAGGGTCTAGACTCAGAGTGACCTTATCCTTAGAGTCTGGGGGCACCTCTGGAGAAGACTTCTAGTTCTCAGATAAAGGAACCTGCAAGCACCCCTGCCTCACAGGAGGGACAGGCTGGAGGCAGCAGGGAGACCTGGCCCTGGTCCCTGGGCTGTGATCTCTGGCTCCCTGTGAGCAGGCAAGGGACTCCTGAGGGGTGGGGCTCCAAGGCCCCCACCCAGTGCTTTAGGATCTTGTCCCTTGCTCATGGGGGCCGTCTGGCCTGGCCTCTCCTTCAGGGCAAAGTGGGTCCCCAGGGTCTCTGGTTGGGTCCAGACTGGAGGCTAAGGTTACCCCCAGGCCACCCAGAGCTGGACAGCACTGAGGGTGGCCCAGCCTCTGCAGCAGCCTCCTGGCCTTTCTCAATCCCTGCCCCAGAAGGACCCTCAGCCCCAGCCCAGCTTCTTTTTGTTTTGGTACAGGGGATCAAACTGAGGACCTTGTGCTTTCGAGGCAGGCACAGTGCCACTGTGCTAAATCCCTAGCCCCCAGCTTCTTCCCTCTATGGAAACGCCATCCAAATTTGCTCTAAAACAGCCTGGGAGGGCCAGGGGGAAGCAATTGTTGGAATGCTCTGGTCCTCTTGCCTCCAAAAGTTCTCTGGGGACCTTGAGGGCCCAGGGCTTTGGAACAAGAAGTCAGCTCCCAGCTGCCCATCATCCCCACCCACCAGAGACCCACAGGCCTTCTCTCTATCTGTCTGGAAGCAGCAAGGTGGGGGATGGAGTCCTCCCAGCACCCCAGGCTGGGGACATTCATCTGGAGGGTGTCATCTGGTCCTGGGACTGGGCCAGTGTGGATGCCCAGAGAGCAAGGAAGATGCTCGGGGGTGTGACGGGGTGCAGAGAGCATGGGGAGGGAGACTTTTGTGGAGGACAGCCTGGGAGGCTGGCGAGCATTGCCCACCCAGGTCAGTCTCTCCCCATCCGCAACATAGAACATGCAGCAGGGCTCATTCAAGGCATTTATTGGTTGCCTGGGGAGAGTGGCCGGCCAGGCTCGAGGCGGGTGTCTAATTGCAGTAATTCTGCAGCTGGTAGAGTGAGCAGATGCTGTTACAGCACTGATCCACAATGCCACGCTTCTGTAGTGCCAGCTCCTGTGCCAAGGGCTGCAATCCGCCTGCCTCCAGGCCCATGCCCGGCTCTGCCTGCCCCACTGCAGGACGATGGTGCCGAAACACAGGAGCAGCAGCAGCAGGGAGAGAGATGAAGGGAGATCCTGTCAGGAGCAGCAGAGTGCCTGCTGTCCCTATGCCAGTACCTCTCACTGCATCCCCAGATGAGCTGGGCCCAGGTGGAAGAGACGCCATGCCGGGGACAGGCACAGGGCACTGGACACACAGAGCGCTGAGGCCCACACCTCCTGTCCATGTGTTTCTGTGTCTGTGGCAGAGCTCAGAGCTCCATGGAGTGTTTGCCCAGAGGCATGCAGGAGCTTGGGATGGGGCATCCCATTTATGTCCCCCAGGCTACCCTGAAACTATCAACACTAGGATGCAACCTATGAGGAGTAGGCTGGGGCCAGGGCAGGTACTTGAGGGCAAGTGGAGGGGAGAGTCCAGAGCTCAAGGGTGCGGCCTGCTCACCCCCATCCCCAGATGCTCCACTTGGCACGGGGAGCTGGTGTCTTTAGGAAATGACCATGAGAGCTGCCTTCCTTTTCAAAAAGCCCATTGACTCTCCTGGGCAGTAGCTTCCTGCCTACTTCTGCCCCTGCCAAGGAGGGGGCCCTGGGCACAGGGACAGCCAGGGATAGCCCGTGGGGGCTCACCCTGCAGGTTCTCCAGCTCCCGGCGCTCCTTGGGTGTATAGAAGAAGCCATTGTCCCCGCATACCAGATACAGCGCCTCCACTAGGTGTGAACCACACAGATGCCGATTGACAAAGGCCTGAGCAGTGTCGGGCCGCCAGAGAGCCAGCAGGGCCAGCACGGCAAGAAGTCGCATCCACAGGGCCATGGTGGAGGGACAAAGACCTGAGGGAGAGGCAGAGTTGAAGCCAGAAGGCCCAGTACAAGAGAAGACCCTCTGTCCTCCCCCAGCCCACCTGGAGCCCCAGCGGTGCAGCTCCGTCCCAGCATGGAGGACACAGACCTGTTTGCTGACTGCTTCTGAATGCAGCTGGTCCAGCAGGGCTGGGGGCAGTTGGGGTCCTGCTGATTTTATAGCCCTGAGCCCATCTCCCCTGGCTCCAAACCCTGCCGTCAGGCCCATTAGGGACCCGGGGGTGCTGGTATCGGCAGATGGCCAGGGGGCTGAGGCTGCAATTTCTGCATCATTTCCCTGGTGCTGGGTCTGCAGGAAGAGCTCCTTGGTCGTCAGCACCTCTGCTTGGGCCTGGGATCATTAGTCTTAATGAGGGACCTCATGGCTGGGCTAACCCTGCTCGCAGCTGGGGGCCCAGGTCTCCAGGAGCGCAAAGCCCATCCCAGGCTTGGTGAGCACTTTGCACATTAGTCCAGGAGAGCTGGGAACTGAGAGGGGGCAGACTTCACGTCTTCGTTCTGGGGCCCCCTGTCCTCAGCCCCCAGTGAATGGCCCGGGTTGTGGGGTGAGGAGAGCTCCCCTCCCAGCACCTGCTGCCTGCTGCCTGCTGCCTGCTGCCTGCTCACTCCTTACCCCCCCAGAGCTCAGCCCCAGACGAGACCCTCTAGCTTGCCCTGGGAGCAGAAAAAAGTACAGTCCCTGGAGAAGCAGTGTTTTGACCCCACAAGGTAGCCCTGTTTCCTATCTTCAGAGTGGGGACAGCAGAGCCTCTCCACGTCCAGCCCAGGCATCCTCTTGGCTCCTGCCCCTCTTCCCGGAGCTCCTGCCGCTCTCCTCCTTCAGGCCAGGGCCATGACCCCACCACCCAAAGAGGGACATCTGTCAGAGGCCATGTGGTACACTGCACCCCTCTCCCGGGCCTAGCCCTTAAGGGCAGGCACTGGAGGCCCAGCTCAACCCCCTGGGGGATGCATGGACTCTGAGCCCCTCTGCCTTCTGCTTCCACCCCCTTAGTGGCAGGGTTGGAACAAGGTAATCTCAGCCTTGGGACCCTCACAGATTCCATCTGGAAGAGTTGGAAGGGCTGTGGCATCCTGTGCCTGCCTCCTGTCCCTCTCTGCCACCCTGCCTTGCACTGATAGCCCCTTCCTGGCCCACTGAAGACCCTCTGCCTGGGAGCTTGGGCCTGGAACTTGACCTTCGCCCAGCCTCAGGCTTCCCCAGCCTGAGAAGAATTCTGTGTGGGGCCCTTGCTCATTTCTCCTCTGCCACCTCCACCTCTGCAATGTTGCAGCAGCTCATGCCTTAGCCCCCTAGGACCCTGTTGTGCTCAGTGGTTTTGGGGCAGCTGGGGAAAGCTGGGTGCCTCCTGGAGAGGACTGTGCAGGGAGGGAGCTGAACGCAGGAGGACCTGGGGGAGAAGACGCCAGGAGCCAGCAAGGCCTCAGGGAGTGGAGAGGGACAGGAGCCCTTGGCCAGAGTCTCAGACTTCCTGAGGGTCTCAGTGAAGGTCATGTTCTTACTTAGGCTCTCTAAAGTTTAAGTCCCGTCCTAGGGACTCAGCGACACAGAAGGATGACCCATGGGGTCCCAATGGGTCGTAAAACCCTTGTGGGATCTCAGTGGGGCTTAAAGCCTCCTCCCCAGGGTCTCAAAAGAGATTGTAGCCTAGCCCAGGGTCTGGAGAGGGCTCACTGCTCCACCCAGACTGATGAGTGAGTGAGTGAACCTAGGCCATCACACTGAGTTATGTCCCCAGATCTTTTCTTCTTTTTTCTTTCCTTCTTCTCTCTCTCTTCTTCTTCTTCCTTCCTTCCTTTCCTTCCTCCCTCCTTCCCTTTTCTCTTTTCTTCCTTCCTTTCTTTCCTTCATCCATCTCTACTTTCCATTTTGTTTTATTTTGTTGAGACAGGGTCTCACTGTGTAGTTCAGGCTGACCTCGAACTCATTATTTAGTTCATGCTGGCCTCAAACTCATGGTGATCCTCCAAGTGTTGGGATTACAGGTGTGGCACCACGCCCAGCCCAGCAATCAGTTCTCCCCACCATCCCCTCTCTCCTTTCATTTCTTTCTTTCTTTCTTTTTTTGGTACCAAGAATTGAACTCAGGCCCTTGCCCTTGTGCAGCAGGCAGCGAACCACTGAGCTAAATCCCTGGCCCCATTTCTTTCTTTAACAGATGATAGAAGGACAGAGGCCAAGGAGGACTGGGGGCCTTGGGCAGGGCTAGAGAGAGGAGCAGGGCTTTCCCAGCATTATGCTCAGAGTTAGAGTCAGGGATCCTGCGGGTCTAGTAGGGTACCTGGAGCAGGGTCCTGTAGACTGGCTGGTGCACCACCCACCACAGGAAGCGTGGAGGAGGCAGCCCCCAGGAAGCCTGACCTGAGCTCTGCAAGGCCAGGAACAGGTTAGGAAGAGGGCTGGTGGGTGGGGCCTGGAGGATGCTGGGGCCCCCGGTGCAGGGCGCTGTCCCGGCCCCTTTAGCGAGCCAATGTGGGGGGTGAGCCCATACTCCAGGCCCCAATTTGCTTTCCTAGAGACAGAAGCCTGGAAAGCTTGCCTCTGAGCCTATCCAGCTGAGCCCTCCCCTTAACACAGGAGCACACGGAGACCCCTCTGAGTTCTGCTGTGGATGGGATGGGGTGAGGAGGTCAGGGCAGCTGGGTCTTTCCCCTTCCTCTATCCCTGGTTGCAGCCCTGTGCTGGGGACCATCTTCCAGTTAGCACAGACTCTCCCTGCTCCCCACAGGGGCCTGGAGAGACCCTCCTATCCCTGTTCCCACCGTGGTACTACCACGCCCTGGAGAAGGGGCAGCTCAGCCAGGGCCTTCTCTAACCCTCTGGGGCTGCTGGGGCTCAGAGTTGGGAGAGGACTTTGGGTGGCAGGGAAATGAGGCTGGGGTCTCCAGCTGGAAGAAGGAAGAAGGGGACCCTCCAAGCAAGGCTGGGCAGGTGCCAGGGTCAGGGCCCGCCCCTGGGGCATGATGCAGAGGCCATGCAAACACTCAGAGACCTTTCTTTCTTTTATTGAATCAATGAACAGGGTGACAGAGAGATGGGGTGAGGGGGGCAGTGCAGGGCCAGTCCATGGCCCTGGGGCTCAGGCAAAAGCAGCACAGGATCTTACAGGTACACACACCAGCCATGGTGCTAGGAACTGGCAGGGCAGCTCAGCAGGGGCCCAGGGGGAGGAGGGTGAAAGGGCACCCAGTCATCTGTGGGCCTGAGGGTGCTTGTGACCCAGCCTTTGCATGGGCCTGAGCTCTGGGGCAGGATGGGAGCCAAAAGGAGGTTGGGGAGGGAGAGGGACACTCCAGGGCAGACCCCCAGGGCCTGGAGCGTCATGCCTCGTGCACCTAGCTGATGGCACTCAGTGCGTGGATGAGGGTATGCAGCTGGTCCTGGACACCCTCTAGGGAGCGTTGGATAGTGTGGGGACTGTCCAGCACATCAACGGCCTGTGCGTAGGGGTCGAACTTCACAGAGAATGGGCGCTGGATTCGAGAGGCATAGCCCCTACGGAGGGAAGTCATTGTAGACCTTCAATCGCTTGATGGGGGCATGAAAGGGGCAGGGGCTAACATCTAGAGGCAGGGTCTGCAGTCTCCAGGACAGCCAGAGGTGGGGGCTGGATGGCTTTTCTGGGCTACCTGAGCCCCTAAAGCTCAACTGTCCAGGCTTCCTCCAGGGGCCTTTTGCAAGCAGACCTCTGCTGGGTGACCCCTCTCCAGGAGCCTTCCCTGACCATGTGCTCTGAGGCTCCCTAAGCTTGTGTGTGGGCTCCAACCCTCCTTTCATGCCAGGCACAACCCTGGCCTCAGTTTCCCCTGTACACAAGAGTCCTGGAAAGGAAGGGAGATCCTTTACCAGGATGACCCTGTTGGGTTCTGCTGCTCCCTGTGGGACCCCACTGGTAGCTGCAGCCCCAGCCCTGGGAAGCCCTGGCTCCCTCCATGCCTCACTGCAGCCCTCAGCCACCCTTTTCCCTCTTATCCCACCCTGACCTGTCCCCATCCCATCTCAGGACCAGGCTGTTCAGAGGGCAGGAGGCTGGGAAGGGTCCAAGTGTCCTTAAGCAACTCAGGCTCTGCAAATTGGTGTAGACCTGGCCACAGAGCAGCCCCAGCCCCACAGCCTCCCTCTGCTCAGACTTTCTGGGGACCTCTGGGAAGGTGTGCGTGCTATGGAGGGGATGCTATAACCAAGGGTGTTTCATCCTCTGTGAAATGGGTTCAGAGGCGGGGTGAAGGCCTGACTCACACAGCTTGCAGACAGGGTGGGGGTCTCATCCCCACCTGAGCTTGTCCTTAGCATCACTGAAGCTCTCTGACACGAAGTAGACTGGCTGGTAGGTCTGGTCTTGGTAGGGCTGAACAGCGGCAGCATCGGGGTCGAAGGCCCGGATCTCAGGCTCCTCAGAGAGGGAGTGCTGGCAGGAGGTCACCAATGTCATGGAGCCGCCACACCCCAGTGCCCAGAGGAATGGAGTACTGTGGCCTGACTCCACATTGGTTCTGGGTGAGGACCCACCCCTGCCTTCCCCGAGGGACCATCAAGGCCTTGTGACAACATGGAGTGGGGACTGGCAGATAAGCTTTCTTTGAGGAAAACCCAAATCTAGGAGGCCCGGCCAACGTGTCCCTTCGCTTAGGACTCTGGCCCTCTCCCACACCATGGCCTGGGCCTCCTCTGCTGGAGTCTCACCAGGAGCTCCCCGTAGGAGGACAGCAACCCAGCACCGTAGGCCTTCAGCTCTCCATTCTGTTTGCACAGCCCAAACTCCACTGTGAACCAGTACACCTGTCAGGATAGTGGGCCATGTTGGTGAGAGGGTCATCACTCTCGCAGCTCCCACTGGCTGCAATCAGGGTACCACCCCATGGCAGGCCTGGCTTAGGTAGGGCTGGGACAGAGAGGAGATCAAACCTACTGTGGACAACTTCTCAATTTCCTCGTCTGAGGCTCCCAGGGAC